CTCAGGGCCTAGTGTATAGTGGCCACGCATTCTACCACAATGTCCCTTTGACATGCCACACACCCAAGTAAGTGCACAATTATTCTTTGGTGTCAGCATCCATGAGGAACTAGTTCTGAGTCTCCTGAATACCAAAACCTCCAGATGATCAAGGACTTTCAATGAAACATCTGCACAATAACCCACAAACATTCTCTTATATACTCTAATTTCTAGACTGAAAATACTAATTACAATGAATGCCTTGTAAACCATTGCTATCCTGTATTGTTAGGGGAATAATAGAAAGAGAAAAGTTACAGGAGCAATTCATTTTTCCAAATATTTTCAAACCATAGTTGGCTGGATCTGAGGATTCTGCTGCATGGATACAGAGGATCCACTTCCATGCCATTATTCCTGTCACTTTTAACCATTCATGTTTTGAAGGTGGGATCTGTCTTGACTTTGGAATTACCTGCAGCTAACAGTCCTTACAGTTTACTATACTTACTCAGAGGAGAGAGTACACATCTTTCTCCTTCAGTCAGTGAACAGTGAAAGGACTAAATTATATGCAGCTTTAGTGAACAGTCATTACAACTGTGTAGCAAACATAAAAAAGAACAACGGGCACTTGGGAGGCAGAGAGTAGAGGAAAGACATAAGTTCAAGGCCAGCCAAGGCTACACAGTTAAGACCTGTATCAATGCCTCATGCCACTTTTCATAAAAATTACAATGGAAGAAAGCTTGGTCTGGCTACATTAGAGGAATATTGATGAGGTTAGCAAATTAAACTGCTTCTCTTTCTTATCACATACCTACCCAATTAACAATTACACTTTATTAAACATGCTTAATGACTGTTACTCCCATTAACTATCCTGAAATCTACTCCAGAGTAGTCAGCTTCCCACAGCCCTGAGGTATCTGATTGCTGATGTGGGAGGGCCATTTACTCAAACTCTGAAAACATTAGGATGAGCACAGCCTATACGCCCAAGTCGTCAAGAAATTATTTTTTTTTTAATTGTATTTTAGGTGTGTGTGGAAGGTGGTTGCCTGTGGAGTTCAAAGACATGGGGTCCCTCTAAAGTTGGAGTTATAGGCTACAGGCACTGGGAAATTAGCCCAAGTCTTCTGGGAAATCAGGAAGCACTATTAACCACTAAACCATCTCTCCAGCTCTCTCCAATAAATGATTTTAAATATGCAAATCACTCAGGAAAGTTATTTACAGTTTGCTGACTGTAATCAATGCCAAGATTGAGTAAGACAATGTAGTAATTTTCTGTTTGTGTTTCAAACCATCAAAAACTGGTCATTCCGGCTGGAGAGATGGCTTAGAGGTTAAGAGCACCGGCTGCTCTTCCAAAGGTCCTGAGTTCAATTCCCAGCAACCACATCATGGCTCACAGCCATCTGTGAGATCTAGTGCCCTCTTCTGGGGTGCAGGTGTACATGCAAGTAGAACACTGTATACATAATAAATAAATAAATCTTTAAAAAAAAACTGGTCATTCATTGTCTTTCTCTAAATTCTCAGTTAAAAGAACCATTTGAATTACCTGGGCCAAAAATCTCAGTCCATTTCCTTGCATCTGTCAGTCTTTCATCACTTATCAGTGACAAATTGATGATTCTAAAAAGGGCTAGTGAGGAGGCTCAGAAGGGAAGAACATTTGTTGCCAAGCTTGATAAACCTGAGTTTGATCCCAAGATCCCACATAGTGGAAGGAGAGAGCTGATTCTCACAAGCTGTCCTCTGACCTCTACAGGTACTTTAGCTCTGTGTCCAGGCCCCTCCTCCACTCCAATTAGGTCCTGATTAACTTCTGCCCCCTTCTCTCAACACCTAGTTCTTCCAAAAGCCCTATATCCAGACACACCAGAAAACCCACACACTACTGCCAGTTTCGCTTGCTAGAATGATTCCCATGTTCGTCTTACATGGGATACTCCTCACACTCCTTGTCTGAGTTCACAGCATTCTGTTCACAGAGCTGTTGACCAGCTTTTCTCCATCCTGAGAAATATCTGTGGTATATTTGCTTTAGAATGGAAAAGGAGTCAGTATCTTCTGTGCATGAGCTGGAAGTTTTGCTGCTTTGGGCCTGTGGCAAAGCATGATGGGTATTATGTGGCAGAACAAACTGCACACCTCTAGTGGCTGTGAAGCAGAAAGAGGAGGGACTGGTGCCTTCATGGGCACACCTTCAATGCCACAAAGGCTTTGGATTAGAATTCCACCTCTCAGAAGCTCAATCACAACCTACCAGCTACTTGGAAGATTATGGCAGGACATCACAATTACAAAGGCAGCCTGCAATGCACAGTGTATTCAGGATCAACTTGGGCAGCTTACTGAGGCTGCCTCAAATTTTTAAAAAGTAAAGAAAAAGAGGGATAGGGATAAGCCCAGGGGAAAGAGCATAGCTGGCTGGTATATGTAAGAGCTTGTATTCCATCAACAGAAGCAAAGAAATATGTCAATAAAATAAAAGGGTAAATTTCGTTCTTTGTGTATTTTCTAACTTGTTTTGAAAAGCCTATTGCATGGGTTCATGGTGCTAGAAATGGTTCCTACTCAAACACTTCACGACTACTCTGTAAGATGTCTACAATGATCATCTTTCAGAGAAGGAATGAAGATCTTGACAAGGTGCCTTTCACTTCCAAGAGATGTTGACTCAAGGTCATAGAGCTTTAAAATTCTACAGCCAGGATTTGAAAATAGGAAGCCTAGCTCCAGAGCATAGAGGATGGGGGAGGGGCCTAACACGCTTGCTGGGATACCCAAGGAAATGGTGGAAGAGATGAACCCCTTCAGCAGCCATGACACACAGGGTATGCCTGTGAAAGCAGCAATGTAGTGAAAACAGTCTCTCTTGGAGCAAGCAGCTAGTATACCTTCCCTGTTCTCACTGGAAAGGACATCAATTCCTATGACTGATTCTCTCAGAACTGGGTAACTAGTACAGAAAGGATCCAGGGAGTCGTACCTCAGTTTAGCTAGACTTAGTAAGAACTCTCTGGGGTTGGATTCAAGGGATCTCTACTGGGATATCTGGGACATTTGTAATTAAAAAAAAAAGAAAAGAAAAGGTCTCCAAAAGGATTTGACCAAGTAGTGTTTGATCAAGCACATCAAGTCTGCATGAAGTTTAAATTCCAGTGAATATTTTAAAAGCATTGATCCTTTCCAGCATATTCCAGAAGGTCCGTATGCATACTGCCTCATTATATAATGTGGCATAATTAAAATTAAGTTGGGGAAAAAAAGGGTAAAATATGACAAGATGTTTAGAGATTGGAGAGAATGCTTTTGGTTTTAGGGCAAATTTTTCAATTTCTCTGTATTGCACAAGGCAAATAAACAGTGTATCTTTAACCAAGAGGATTAAATAAATTAACTACTTAAAATGGTGCCTGGCACTTAGCAGATGCTCAGTAAATACTGCCACTATTATTGCTAACTTAATAGAGTGGTACATTACTTTTCATATTAATTGAGTCAGCTTCCTCATTTGCAAAATGAGGAAATAGCATTTCATTTACTTTCCAGAGTCTTTGGAGAAAAAAAAAAGGTTGAATATTAAGCATGTAGTATTTTACAGTGTTTATTCTTCCAGAAAAGAGAGAAATCGGGGGTCTGGCTCCTAGGATCTCACTATGGCTGACAGGACCCAAGCTCTTTAGCCCTCCTAAGCAGCTTTCTAAGATAACAGTGGTTCTCAGCCTTCCTAATGCTGTGACCCTTTAATACAGTTCTTCATATTGTGACCCCCTCAAACCAAAAAATTGTTTTCGTTGCTACTTCATAACTGCTATTTTGCTACTGTTATGAATTACAATGTAAATATCTGTGTTTTCCAATGATTTTAGGCGAACCCTGTGAAAGGAGTCGTGAGCCACAGGTTGAGAACCACCGCAAGATAGTAAATTTAGGATTGCATTCACGTACAGCAGATACAATCTGGGCAGAACTCTGCAATACACGCTCACTCACACCATAGACTTAAAAAAAAAAAAAAAAAAAAGAAACAGAAAACATTTTCATGGACCTCTAAAACCTCGTGAGCTCCACGGGCACAGTTACTACTGTGCCTAAATTGGGCTGTCACCTGGAACCTTTTGACACTTGTGTCTATGAACATCATTACATCCTTCAGTTCGCTTCTCAAGTCGCTTCTCAGCAACTTCCTATCTGCGGAATGGAACCGGCTGCAGGGCCACCTACCCTGATTCTGCCCTTAGTCCAGGGACGTAGCGCAAGCCTGTAATCCCAGCACCCGGGAAACTGCCGCCAGAGGACGTTCGAACCTCCGAGTCCTCGTCTCAGTAACAAAGAGCGTGTTGCCCTTGCGGACATGGATGACAGCTCCACGTCGAACTAGCCTGGCTGCGAGTGAGCAGCACCCGCCACGGTGAGTGACGACATGCTGCACAAACGCTGAACTTAAACCAGGTCATGCGATTTCTGCAGCAGCCCCTCACACAGCCAGCGCGGTGTCTCCTCTGGAAGCCCCAGGCCAACCATGTCGCTGCTCCTCCCCTCAGGGGCCCCAAGGTCACCTGGAAACGGCCCTCCCCCCTCTCACCCGCGTCTCCAAAGCCGGCACCCACCGACAGTCTTCGGAAAGCTCCGTGTGAGAAGATTTCCGACTCCGAGTCTAGCGCCGGCGCGGCGGCCAGACAGAGCTGTCAGCGCGGCGACAGAAGCCCGCTGTAGCAGGCTCATGGCCGCCATGGCTACTCCGGCCACGGAAGGAAGTAGGATGGACTACGGGGCCCGGGAGGGACAATCCACCAATAAGGGCGAACGCTAGGGGCGGCCATCTTGAGTGAGGGCAACGGCCGGCTCCTGTTCGCTTCATACGGAGACGCTCGAGGACCAAAGTGTAGGCGGGGGAACGCTTAGAACCTACATAAACTCTAAGGGGGATTAGGAGGTCGGGGGCGACGGCAGTTAGGGCGGCCATGTTTAGGAAGGGCAGAGCTTGTTCCTGTTAGCTTCAGTTATCGACACACGACAGCGGAAGTGACATTGTGGGCGCCTACACAGTGGGTCCGCTTTAGAAACATGGCTGCCGCCAGTGTAGTGGGTATTTGTAGAAGAGTGTCAGCGTTTCTGAAGGCTACCGGCTCCCTAGTAAATCCCAAGGCCCCTGCTGGCTCCGGGTAAGTGAGGAAAGGGAGGAATCCCGACTGCCTCCGCTTTTGGGTGCTTGTTGCAGTGTGCAACAGAGCTCTGGAACTGAGGCCACCTCGGAGGCAGAGGGTGTGACCTTGGAGTTGCCCACACTGGCGCGTCCCGATCTTCCCCCAACGGTCTCTTGTTGCTGCGGGCGGTGGGTCCGATGGCTTGGGATTTTCAGATGCTGGGTGTATACCCTGCGTATACTGGCTATTACTGGAGCTAGATGGGTTGTGCTGTGGAACGGAAGGCTTGGCCAGGCGTGGGCCGTAGACAGAAAGGGGTCTTTGTACCATAGGGTTCGGACGCAGGTGGTCCGGCAGATACTAAGTGATGAGAATAGCTGCTACGTCAACAGCAGGTATTTCTGCAAGTGTGAGAAAGATGTCACCTCTTCGTAGACATTTGCCTACAACGTGCCGAGTTGTATAATAGTAGAGTACCTCAGATTAATTGAAGGAAGCAACCCGTGTCGGTGGAATGCACAGCTGTCTATCTTGCATGCAACTGTTATCTTCTGTATTATTAGCAATACCTTGGGAAATTAGCTTTTTAAAGCTTTTGCAGAGTTGAAATTTGACCAAAGTGGCAAACCTGAATAAATAAATTATTTCTTCTTTCATTATCTTTTCCCCTTAAAAGTGAAATTATTTGGGACTGGAGAGATGGCTCAGTGTTTATGCACTTGTTCTTGCAGAGTACCCAAGCTGGGTTCACAACTTGACTCATGGTGGCTCACTAACGTCTTTAATTCCAGTTCCTGGTGATCCGATGCCTTCTTTGACTCTGAAGACATCAAACACACACACACACACACACACACACACACACACACACACACATTGTGCACATATACCCAGGAAAACATTCGTAAATATAATCCTGTAGCACTCATTTTGAAACTCTATTTGGAGTGTTTAGGCCTCAACCTCCCAACCCTATGTAGGAGAGAGAAGGTTACGGGGGGGACAGGGCCGTTTACTTCTCCCGGCTGTTTAGAGTCAAGGGGTTCTTTTAGGGCTATCCCAATCCTACAGCAGACACAGCCAGCAGTCTCCGTTCAAGACCTGCACCCTAAAGCATTTCTCTTCGTCTGTCTGCTCCAAACCACCACCCCTTCTGGCTTTCTGGGCTCTCATATTCATACCCTCAGAGTCCTAAACCACACTCCTCTCTGTGCCACACGTGGAAGGCTGACTTTTACCAGCTGGCCAAAGCCATGCCCCGAAATTAACAGGTGTGGACCAACTGCAGCCCAACTAAAATCCCTCACTTGGGATTAAAACAAGAACATATTTACATAACATAACTGAGTTTACAAAGAAACCAAAACTTTCATTACATAAATCTTAAAATTTTTAATGAAATAATTTTATTTGGTTTTTTAATAAAATGAATACCTGTCACTCAGAAGAGAGGCAAACTATTTTGAAGATGGTAAAGCCAGTTGTGCATTCCCAGGTGAACACATTGCCATTTCTTCTCTAATTGCTCAGGTATACACACTTCATTTACCATTCCTCCAGAACAACAGGAATGTTGATAGAGTTAAACAGTCAACATTTTTTCAAGATTTTTATATTTATGCTCTCTTTCTGCACTGTTTGATAGAGGTCAAATTCAAACTCAGCCCCAGGGACATTGCCTTACTAAGTAGGACCCAGTGATCCCACTCAGGAATATACTGCTATTACTTAGCATACAATCCAAAATACAAATAAAATGGCCCTATTAATTAATTTCTTTATTATCTTTCTTCCCCTTTTGTGGTCCCCATTCAGTTCCATCATTTTATTTTCTTCAGGATCCAATGAAGGATCATTTATTGCACTGGTTGTTATTAATCAAATATGTTTCTTTTTTTTTCTTGGTCGTGACACTGACATTTTGGGTAGAATATGCCTCCATTTGATTATTTTATCATGATTTCATTCAAGTCAAGCGTCAGGGATGTTGCTTGTTATAAAGCACATACCTACATGCCTGATGCCCTGGGCTCAGTCCCCCCAGTACACACAAAAACAAACATGGATTCAAGTCAAATACTCTTGGTCAGATCACAGCACTTGTGAAACATTTCACATTTTGTTTTTAACTCATTTTGCCAGCTCATTAAATATTGTTAGAAACATAATTTTCATGCAGTTGTACAATAGTTGTACATTTATGTGATTAACAACTCTTTGATACCACATTTATTTACTTTATGACGGCTTAATCTGACTATGATGTTAAAAATCTCTAGATACAGAATTATTGGATTAAGGGAAAAAACATTGTGCCTTTCTAATGTTGCTAAACTGACTTTCAAGATGGGTTGATCTGCTCATAGTTTTACTTGCTACATTATAGTTGAGAGTTACTCTTTCGGGGGGAAGGGGCTGGATGTCTCAGGAGGTAAAAAGTGCTTGTCACTCAAACCTGTTGTCCTCAGTCTGATCTGAAGAGCCAATGCAGTAAAAGCTGGGTGCAGGAGCATGTGTCTGCAATCCCAGCATTCCTATGCCCAAATAAGAGGTTAGAGAAAAAGAGAAGCATCCGAAAGCCTTCAAACCTGCTAACCTAGAGTATTCATCACAGCAGCAAAAAGGAGAAAGACTGGACCTCAACAGGGGGGAAGAGAACTGAGGACTGGAGGTCGTCTTCTGACCTCTACATGTGTACACGCACATGTACTCTACGTGAGCGCATGTACATGAATGCGTGTACTCACGCACATATGCACAACAGTAAATAAAAAGGTAGATTATATAATGGTGTAAATATGTTGTCTGAAGTTATAGGGTAACAATCTGTACAATTAAAAAGATACTTTCTAATGCATTTAAAAACCTTACCACTTCTGTGTAGAATTTTTGACATTGTAATAAAGGAATGCATCTTTCTTATAAAATCAAACATTATAAAATGTAATCATTATTTATTTGTGTTCAATTGCAGGCTTCCTTTTAGTTTGTTGCATAAGAACAGGCCACATGTCACATCTTTTCTCCAGTGTAAATTACTTCATACCACATTGTCAAGGAAAGGACTAGAAGAATTTTTTGATGACCCAAAGAACTGGGGGGAAGAAAAGGTCAAATCTGGTGAGATCTTTAGAAGGGTCTGTGTTGATTGATGGAGCCCTTCCTCCTCCCAAAATTATCCAGTTTAGGGTTTCCTGTTATCATCTCCTTTGGATTTTTAGATTTTTAAAGGTCATTCTTGTAGCTGAAATAAAACTTCCTTGGCTGGCTGGTGGGATGTTTAGAAGAAGGGTGCTTTAAAGTGCTAAGTAAATGAGGTTTGGGTTTATTTTAGTTGAGTGAGTGAGTGTGTGTGTGTGTGTGTGTGTGTGTGTGTGTGTGTGTAATAATAATAATAATTTGCAGTGGATTAGGGAATGAAAATGCATTTGACACAAATACTAGCAGTCTTTGCTGTTGTGAATCATGTTACAGATACAGGAACAGATTTCATTTTGAGGGTGAGTAATCAGATGGGCATAGATCTAGAAGCATCATTTAATGTCACACATTTCTCATTCTCTTAGGAGCTTCATGGACCTGCCAGCAGCTAAGGAACAAAAGTAATGAAGACTTACATAAACTTTGGTGAGTGTTCTGCATATTGAAACATTACAGGTTAACAGTGGGGTCAAACCTATACCTGTGTAATAAAGAACTGGACAAAGTGATTTGTTTTCCTGGTACGGTGGCTAATCATTTGAACTTTTCAGAGGATTACATTAAGGCGAATGTTTCACAGGTCAAAAGTAGTAGGAAAATTTAAACTTTTTGCTGTAAGTGCTGAGTCAGACTAATACCATTAAACCAGCTCAAAAATGACATAGGGACAGTCTTACACTGCCCTCCTTTTTTTCTCTTCCTCGCTAACTTATTGTTTAATATAAATGCTAACAGAAAGTAGACACTTCCTTATATTTATGGTCTAAAAGCTCTGATTAAAATGAACCCTGTTATCTGCAACTCATAGAGGCCTTAAACCCGAATTAGGACCACCAAAGAGCTAAGTTATTTTCCAAGGTAATAAAGCAGCAACCATTTACCAAAATATGGAGTTGTTAATATTAACAACAGTGACAGTGAGGAGGTAGAATTGAGAAAGAAGGCCTTAATCCTCTCAAAACTCTGCAACAAGTGGAAAATGGACTTACTGAGCTCCAGAGTTCTGTTGCCCTAAATACAGCCATTTCTTTTTCCTGCCTTGTTTGTTTGGAAATATTAAACAGAAGAAAGGGAATGTCCCATTTTAAGCAGGGTTCTTTTTTTCCTGTTCTAAAAGAACATTCAGAAGCTAATGTCTCCAACTAAAGTCTCACCCCTGGCTAGATGTTAAGGAGTCAGTCATAGCTTCTGCCTTCCTTTTTATTCTCTGTTTCATGGCCTGTTATCCTGGTGGGTTGTCTTAAAGGGTACGTCCATTGGGAATGTAGGTAGATTTTTTTGGCACGTGCCCTGCTAAGTCTTGCATTCTAATATTTAGCCCAAGACTGTTTTGTTTAAACCATACTTGTTTGGGGGCAGATTCAGATAATATCTGAAGCTTTTGGCTTCTCTTGAACAACTAGACCTCTGTGACAGCACTGGCAAGTCTGTGGAACAGCTCCTCACCTGCCTTCTGTCACTCAAGCCACCTCACTCATAATTGTTACCCACCTGGGCACTCTAGTAGGCATTTAATTTTTTATCCCCTAATTTGAAGATTGGTTCTCTTAACAGATTAAAGAATTATGTAGTGCTTACAAAAGACATGCATACTGTGGTTATTATAAGAAAGTAGGTTTTAGTAAAGTGCTATTCTTATGAGTTATCCATAAAGGTGATAAACCACTCTCTGTGTTAAACCAACATCTTCTGCCACTCCTCCTGCCAACTGTCGAGACCCTAGGATAAAGCTGCCAGTTGTTTGTCTCCCTGTTCTGCCCTCCACAGTTACTGCTTTAATTCTGAAACTGGTGTCTTCATGACACCCCCTACCCCCAGCTCAGCCAGTTCAGTGCTTTAGAGTCTGGCTGCCTTGTTCCCTTCCATCTTCATCTTAAACCCCATTACTAGGAAGCTTACCCTGGTCACCTTAGCTCTAGAGGAGGTGTCTCGTGTCCATCCCTTAACTGTTCTAATGCATCTCATCTCCCTAACCCAGGAAGCCACTTTGGACATAGCATGGCAGAGCTAGAGGTAGAATTTACACAGAGGTCTGAGATTTGAATCCAGTATTTGCTATGTAACCCATGATCATAATCCCCAACTGCTCTGAGCTGTCTGCATTAGAGAGAGGGAATCAGTAGTGCCAACCTCCAAAGGTTGTGAAGAATGATGCTCAGCACCTGGGCATGGAATAGCTATTCAGTAGATATTGTTCATCTTCCTTGCCTGTGGCTGATGCTTTTGGAACCGTCTAGCACTCCATACAAGATGCAGCAACTGAGGAAGATGGAAGGCAGCTCTTCATAATGGTACCCAGGTGGGGTTTCCAAAGGACTTAGGACTTTCAGGGCTTTTAATTTTGATGTAAGAAATCACTATAGCATAGCATCATGGCTTTGTATTTGGTACAGGTACGTCCTTCTGAAGGAAAGAAACATGCTTCTAACTCTAGAGCAGGAGGCCAAACGACAGAGATTGCCAATGCCAAGTCCAGAGCGGTTAGAAAAGGTAGGCTTGTGGGAGCCAAGACCCTTGCATGGGGTGAAAGCCACAAGGGAATGAGTACATGGTTCTTAAATGTCTTTAAAATCTTTTTTGTTGTTGTTGTTGTTTGTGTGGTTTTTAGTAAATTTACAGAGTTGTGTACACCATTCCAGCAGTTTCACTTAAGCGCGTTTTTATCACAAGTGTCACGTGCTTTTGCTCTTTCCTCATCCTCAGTTGCAACTTCCAACCTAGAGAGGGATATTTATTTTTGTTTCTCTTAGCAGCTGCCTGGGAGTAAGATTTCCAGGCTGTACAGTCTCTACCTGGGAGTAAGATGGCCAGGCAATATAGTCTCTATTGCACTGCTTTCTGAAGCAGCCACGTATGGCAGGCACATGCCACAGAGCCCAAGTTCAGTATCCCAAACAGTACAGCAGCCATTGCATTGTACATTCCAGCTCTACTCTGGCCCCTCTCCACTAACAGCCCGCTGCTTAGTGTGGAGTTTTTGTTCTTTTGCTCCTGTTGTTTTACTCTGACATGTCAGTGAGGGCAGAGCTGAGCTTTGAACCAGCTGTAGTACTGAGCCGTACCTCAGCTCGTTCACCTTCCCTCCCCCACATCATGAATAAGCATTCGCACCATACTTGATTTTATGTAATAGTAGATGTGCAGGAGAATTACATGCCCAGTACAGAGACTTCTCCCATGCCTTCACCCCGATTCCATGGCTTACTTTTCATTGGTAGTTATTCTATTCTGCCCCCCCATACACACTTTTTCTTGACTGTTTGAGAGTAAGTAGTACATTTCATGTCCCTTTAGCTACAAAACTTAATTATACATTTCTAAACATCACTTTATACATAGTCATTACACGCTTTTAAAATTAGGAAACAAACATTAATATGACAGAATTAATAGGTAGAATCCATATTTATATTATATCAACTATCCTAACAATATAGAATATATATAGTAAGAAGATCCTGGATCATGCCTTTTCTATTTATGTGATTCTTTTAATAAGGAGAATCAGTATTTGCATTTTATGACATGGATATTTTTGAAGTGTGTAGGTCATTTCCTCAAATTGGGGTCATTTGGTGATTCTCATGGTGAGGAAGACAGACTAGCTGGGCTACACTTGGACAAGTGATATTTATAAACTACAAAGTCTGTTTGAGTGAGGTATAGCCAACTGATATGTGCTAGTAAGTTGTTCCTTTTGACAAGTATTTTCAGTTTGAGAGTCTGTCTGTTTTTATTTGGGGATATCAGTTGGGTATCCCTAGCCTGAAATCCAAAACTTTGAACAGTGTAGTGCTGTTCTGCTCTACTGATGTACCGTGGTGTGAGCATCCAGTGCCCACTCTGTGGGCTCAGCAGCATGGACTGACCACCTCAGTAGAGCTCAGCTGGCCGTTCAGCCCTGCCCTGGCTTGGGTGGGCTCTAATGTCGGCCATCAATAGCCAGATTGAAGGACTTCCCAAAGGGAAGAGAGCATTGTGTGGAGCCTCTTGTAAGCAGCTGTTTTCACCCTGGCGTGGCCCGGCTGCCTGTTGTCAGTGTGATGTACATTCCCAGGTTGAGAAGGCATGGAAGGTCAGCTGCTGTAAAGTACCAGTGACAATGGGAGTGGCAGAAGTGTTGAGCATGAGCTGACAAGCAGGTCATATGATCATTTGATGAGCTGACAAGCAGGTCCTATGACCATTTGTCTGAATGTCACATCGTCAAGCTACATGGAAGTCTACCCTGCTCTTTTTGTAAGGGATGTTATAAGAAGCAAATGTGTCTAAATAGCGTACGTTAAGCTGCTGACGGAAACATATACCCATGTAATGGTGGCTTGTGGGTGCGCCTGTGCATGCGTGTGTGTGTGTGTGTGTGTGTGTGTGTGTGTGTGTATTTCTAACTCAGTACATGTGACTACCACTGTAGTGTCTACATTAAAATCAGCATAGAAATGTGAGTAAAAATGGAATAGAAGCAAGTAGAAGCTGTACAGGTATTTTCTAGGTATCCTAGTGAATCCTAACACTCCTTCCCTTCGAGAGCAGGAGTTGCCAAGCAAGCCGGAACACCTGCTGAGTATGCAAGGAAGCCATGATCCATCAAGGCCAAGCCTGCACTTTGCTCTCACAAAGGCAGCAGTGATTGTGGCTTCTTGTTGGCTCACTGCATTCTCAAACAGCAATTGTTAGAGCTGTGTCCACTCGAAAGCAATTAAGAAAGGCTATGGTAAAACTTCAAACAAGTTACAGAAAGTCACACTGAAGACACCCATGAACACACACCTGTGCCAAACAGGCTTACTAGAAAGAGCGGTTTCTAATTAAACATACCATAGATTCCCTACCTTGTAAATCTTCTTTAGTTCTTTTGGATGTAGTTGTAGGTGATGGCTAAAGTTAAAATGTCTTTTTCTCACCTCAGGTTGTTGATTCCATGGATGCCTTAGATAAAGTTGTCCAGGAGAGGGAAGATGCTCTAAGGCTTCTTCAGACTGGTCAAGAAAGAGCAAGACCTGGTGCTTGGAGAAAGGACATCTTTGGACGAATCATCTGGTACATGATTACACTGGGACTTAGAAGAGTGGAGATCTGTTGCCTTGTTCCCTCTCAGTACCTTGAAAACTCCTCCCCTGTGAATATATTTGAGATCTTATGTAAAGGTTCCTAACCCCTAGACCACAAAATATGTACCAAGGTTGCTTTGTCTGATAAAACAAATTCCAGACCAGCCAACCCATCCCCATGGGCTCTGGTCTTGAATCATAAGACCTTTCAAGAATTTCATGAAAGATATAGAAAATTGTGACAGAAAATCTGCCTCTACCCCTGTAATTTCAGATTATAAAACTCAGAGCTAATCTCAGGTACATCTATGCCCACCTCACCCACTAAGAACCTGGAACTCTTGAAAGTTCCTAAGCCACAAGGTCAGTTTGGTTGTCTTACTAGGTCCAGGATGAGCCCTGGACCAAGGAATGAACAGCTTACCTCCTTCTCGAGAAGGATCTGAGATTCATCTTGGACACTGAGGAATAAAGGACCCAGAGGATCCAAGATAAACTAACTCATGGGTGTGTGGTATCTTAACCACGAGTCAGCAAATGGAGAAGCTTTAGGTGTCTAGACCTTCTCCAAACCTAACACCTTATAAACAGCTCCCTCTCATTTGATGTGGAATCTCTGCCATCCTGTCAGGAACCATCTAAGACAACACAGAAAGAGAGAAATGGCCAGAACCTCACACTTCACTCTTCTAAGAAGCTGGGTGGTGGTACACCCCTTTAATCCCAGCACTCAAGAGACAGAGGCAGGCAGAGCTCTGAGTCTGAAGCCAGCCTAGTCTACAGAGAGAAGTCCAGGACAGCCAGAGCTACACGGAGAAACTCTGCCTCAAAAAAAACGAAAAAACCCTTCCAAGGATTAGCATGCAATTTTAATTGTATTTTTAATAATTTTAAAAAGTACATTTATTACTTTACATGTTTGTATGTGCTTTGGCACATGTGTGATGTCAGGGAATTTTCATGGAGTCAGTCCTGATTCACACATCCTAGGGATTAAATTCAGGTGCCAAGTACCTTCTTGCTTATCTATCTCACTGGCCTCATTTTCTAATAATTTTTAATTGGATTAATTTATTTGAGACCAATTAGAAAACAGTGAAAAACCTGAACTAAAAATTTATCAGATATTTTGTATAAAGCAATAACTTCACTTTTTTGGCAGGCACAAATTCAAGCAGTGGCCTATCCCTTGGTACCTAAATAAAAGATACAATAGGAAACGGTTTTTCGCAATGCCTTACGTGGATCGCTTTGTCAGGTAAGCATAATGTCCTTATAATAAAGCACAGGCATGTGACCTGAGCTTTCTACGACATAAGTAATGCATCTTCATTACTTAAAAAAAAAAAAAAAACATTAGGTTGAAAAAAAGCTCAAACATGTTTTGAGAAATGGAATGGTTTTGTCTAAACTATTTTGTTTTTATTCTAGACTACGACTTGAGAAACAAGCCCGCATTGAAGCAAGAAAGAAAGGTTTACAGAAAAAGAAAGAAAAGATTCTCCAGGCAAAGTTCCCACATCTCTCTAAAGAACAGATATCAAGCACTGTCTAAGATGAGATCCAGAAGTCTGGTTCCATTGTTCTTAAAGCACAGTCTGTCGTGATGTGAATGTTTCTGTTAGGCAGTTTATAAAGAAATGCTCTTGTCAACTGACATCAGTTGTTTTTCTGGGTAACATGGCATGTCCTCAATTCTACAAGTGATGTTGCTTCTTCCAAAACCAGGCAGAATTCAGTTTCGGTTCCCAATGAACAGGTCCTGACATCTAAGCAGCTTACATCACCGAATGTCTTGGTGATGCTATCAGCAAAGTGGGTTTGGGGATGCTCTGTTTTCACCACTAATTGAAAAGTGTGAGGGGAGGAAGGAGCTGGAAAGATGGCTCAGTGGTTTAAGAGCGCTAGTTGTTCTTCCCAGCACAAACACAGGGACTCAAAACCATCTGTAACTCCCAGTTGTAGGGGAGCCAACACTTCTCTGGCTCACACAGACACCAGGCACTAATATGGTGTGGATGAAATGACCATACACCTAATTTTCTAAGCATGAAAGAGATGTGGATATTGTTAATAAAACAGTGATTGTGTCTCCCACCAAAATGATGGTAAAGGTGGTATTGACGGTAGCAAATCACAACACAGAAAAGAATCCAAAACCCTTCTAGATGGTACTGATTTTTATTTAGTTTTGTAAGCCTAAGGTAAAAAGCATAGGCAGTAACTTTTACTAGTCAATAAAAATTCCACCAACCCACAGGAGAGCCGGAAAGTACTTACTGAAAGGAAAATATTTAGAGAAAATAGACATTCATACAAAATTATAAAATGCCTGTAATAAGAATAAGTGCATTTCAAGGAAAGCACAAACTCATTTTAATTTATAGAGCCAGTTAAAGCCTTAAAAAATTTAAGTGGAAATTGAAATATGCAAACATGTATAAACATTCTACAAAAGATGGTCATCTTTTCCTGAGTATACTAAAGCTACAGACGTGAGGTGATGGGCAACAGGGTGGGAGCCCTCAAGGGCATTTTCTTTCTACACACTGCTTCCCTCCTTCCTCATACTCCTGTTTGGAAATCCACATCTGTTGAAAGGTACCCTGTAAGATGGAAAGAAATATAATTATGTTCACTTTTTACTACAAGGTAGTGTTTTAAATGCCCTTAAGAACTGCTAAACTATTAAATCCCTCCAAATAGTACTGTCCCCCTATTCCCTCTGCCCTCCTCTAAGGCAGGCCAGAGACACTGTTTTAGCCTAGCCTTTCAGGTCTGAGAGACCACTAAGCCCCTCGTTACCTATTACGTCAGAAATTAAAAGTGGCTAGCAAACACAAGAGGAAGGGTCCTAAGGCAGTAGTGGAACCTATTGGTAGGCCATGACAGTTATTTCAGGTCCTGTGGGGGAAAGCAGGAACAATCTACATCTTGACTCCTGAGACACAATCTCCCAATTCAGGGTAGACTCCCATTAAGACCTAGCACAGTGATCTTACTGGCCCACAGAGCCAACTTCTGACAGCTTCATGAGGAGTTGGGAAACAACCCAACTTCAGGATGAAATGATGTATCATCACTAAATGCAATGCACACAGGCCTGCCCAGCGCCAAAACAGACATTACTAGCAGAGGCTCAACTGCTCCCACTGGAAAGGGAGTGTAGACTGATAGTGTCCACTGACTGGGCATTCTGTTGCATCCCAACACGGAGCCAAGTGTGGCACTGCAGACCCAAGGTCCCAGCACTCTGGAGGGGGAGGTAAGAAGTCTGCAAGTTGGAGGCCAGCCTGAAGTTGATGGAAGATGGAGGGGGTGTTTTATATATAAATGTTTTTAATCAGATAGTCCTACCAAGTCCTCCACTCATCTGTCAGTTGTTTTTTTTTTTTACAGCATCTTTTTTTTTTAAAGATTTATTTATTATTTATATGGCATTCTGCCTGCATACCAGATCTCATTATATATAGATGGTTATGAGCCACCATGTGGTTGCTGGGAATTGAACTCAGAACCTCTGGAAGAACAGCCAGTGTTCTTAACCTCTGAGCCATCTCTCCAGCCCCCATCTGTCATTTTTTAAATGCAAAGATCAATGAAGCACTTAGATCATTCTTAATAATTTTTACTACGCTTAGTATTTTTCAATGACATAGTTTAGCCACATAAGAATTCTTTTTTTTAAAATTAAGAATATTTCTGCTTGTATTGAAAATGTATGAGTTAATATTGTAATAAATAAACAACCATTACCAGACAACCCAGAGTGCTGTTCTGGAGGAAAAAAAAAAATGTGAATAGGAGAGAGTTACTCATAGAACCAAGACAGATTTTTATCAGTACAGAATAAATGTCAAAAGCATCTTGAGCTCCCAACAAAAAGAACCAGGAAAGATGTAATAATTATTCAGAGAAAAAGATGGTGCATCAGATGAAAAACTGTTTTTGTAAACTGTTGTACCACTCCCATTCTCACAGTTGCCCTCTCAAACCAGAGTCTGTCTCGGTGAAATCTTTATTCTTACAAAGCAACTTATCTACTAACCAAAGATGCTAGGATGGAGCCACCAATCCATGAGCTGAACCTCCGTTCCACTGTCGTGTTGTTTGCAATTAGTTTCAATCGCATGCTCTGCAACAGAGGAAGCATTAGGATGCTGGAGTAGCCACAAGAGCCAACCTGATCTCTTTCTTCCTCTCTCTCACTGACTCACTCAACAAACACACACAGGGAAAATGAATAATTTTACATGGTGTCAAACAGCTAAGTAACAGCTGACAAAGATCAAGCTGAATATGGGGTAAGAAAATGGACTATATGACTCCGAGAACTAGGTAAATACAGGCATGCAGCACTTCGCCAGGTAGGAAAACCAAACTGGACCAGAAATTCTGACACCCATGCTCTTTAACTTTCGCTGTCAGTAACTTGTTTGAATATCCTCAGCATGACACTCCCCCCATGAGTTTCCATTTCTGCAGCAATAAAGAAACTACCCAGAGCTTGAAGTCTCCTTCCCTTGAACAGCTCTACTAAACAGGTTTTATGATATTCCTTTAAGCACTGACACTTATTTTGCAATCTCATTTAGACACAAAGACAGAATTTATATGTGTATAATTCCTTACACAACTATTAAACAAATTGACAAAGCAATAAAAAACAAAACATTTCAAAACTGCATAACAGGACAGCACTTACAATTCATGCACACACTTTCAAAAGGTACCACGGTAAGTGCTTGCTTAATTTTCATTTAAAGTCTCATACTCCCCCACTCTGCCCCCAGAGCTCCAGCTATCTCAACTCTTCCCACATCGCAAGATGCCACATTGCAAGTAACATTGATTCATATTGCTTGCCTTCCAAATCTGTGCTTCTGCCCAGCAGGGTAGCTCATGTCTATAACCCCTCAGGCTGAATGAAGGAGCACAATGCTGGGTAAACTAGCCTGGTCACAATGGGACTGCAACATAAGCCCCACCTCAAAACCCTAAAACCTTAGTGCTTCTATTCTGAACACAGTACAGCCCAGGGTCGCCTTGAACGTGTGCTCTTCCTGCCTCAGCCTCCCCAGTAGCTGACAGGTCAACACCACCTGCAATACAGTGTTCATCTCACTTCCTATACAAAGGGACTTTCTCCCTTCTCCTTAGGAATCTGCCTCTGGGAATAATTTTCAAGATGTCCATACCAGACACAAATGTAGTCTACAGTACACAAATGTAGACTCTTTTCACAGTGAGTTAACATGTGTCACGTAGAACATAGGACCAGGAAAGTGCTGGTACAGGATGTTCTAGAATGGAACTTTTCTCCTGACATGTTTCTTGATTTTAATTACTTCCTAAAGGACAAGAGTTTCTAAGTTACTCTTAAAAATTAAAAAGACCCATTTTATGAATTATGTGTGTGTATATGACTGTGTGAGCATATGTGCACATGAATGCAGGTGCCTGAAGAGGCCAGAGAGCATTGGAACTCCCTGGAACTGAACTTAGAGGGGGTATGACCAGTCCAATGTGAGTTCTGGGAACTCAGGCCTCAGCAAGAACAGTTTACACGGTAAGGCTGAGCCATACCTCCAGCCCCTACTCTTCAGCAGACCTTGGACCATTCATGCCATTCATGCTCTCTATGAAACTCAATGGTCAGAACTACTATGGCAGGTTCTAGACCTCAGTTCTCAACCTATGGGTCTTGACTCCTTTGGAAGTTAAATGACCCGTTCACAGGGTCACATCAGATAGCCTACAAACCAGATATTTACATTATGATTCATTACAGTAGCAAAATTACAGTTATAAATTATCAACAAAAATAGAAGAGGACTGTATTAAAGGGTCACAGCATTAGGAAGGTTGAGAAGCACTGCCCTAGACCACCATCTCCAACAATGCAGTACGCTGAAGGCTAATGTCAATCACCGAAGTGTAGCACTGCAATACACACATATAGCATATGTAAATCATGAGCAGTCAAAAACGTACAATTTCTATAGACACACATAACAGCCTTTAAGCATGTTATACTTAGTGTTATTAATACATGTAAGTTACCTCTCCAGATTGGCTGCTTCTTTGAAAATCAGCACCATGTACCCTGGAAGTGTATGCGTATGCATGTTCATGTGTACACACTTATATGTGAATGTGTTTGTGTGGGTAAAATAAGGTGAAGAGAGAGAAAAGACATGTAATTTGGTCTGAGCTCTAGAAAGATATGCATGGGTGAATGCACCCACACATGAACACACGGCACACACAAACATTAAAAAGACATTCAAGTAATAGAAGAGGAACCAAGAGGTGTTATGTAGATCTTGACTAATACGTTTCATACTGTAAAGGCACACAATTATCCAACTCCACTCAGTGAAAATGGACACAACTAAATCACACAACAAACAGAAAAACTTACTGGGGGAGTTTTCTGAGAAAGCTCTCGATTTAACCTGTCAGTGAAACTCTGGATTAGCGTGTTTCCTCCTGCTACAATCACACTGCCGTAGAGACCCTAGGAGAGAAACAAAATTATTTCCACGTGTTTCCAACAACCCTACAGGTATTGTTTGGTGCTGGGAGATGGACCCAACTACCAACTTCATTGGTTTTCCACTTATTTATTTTGTGTGTATATGTGTAGGAGTAAGCATGGCCTACATGTGTATATGTAGAGATTAGAGGACACTTGTGGAGTTCTTTTTCTAGCATGTGAGTTCTGGGAATCAAGTTCAGGTTATCAGGCTTTGGTGGCAGGCATCTTTATGCACTAAGCCATCTTGCCAACCCAGAGCCACTAAATTAAAATTACTCTTAAACTTATACTTCTTATTGGCAGACAGCTGCTAATATTAGAAGTACATTTTATAATGGCATTCATCTTTGTTCATCTGAAAGTCATTGTATTTTAAATTAGACAAAATTGTTTTATGATCGTGACAGATAATGATACTCTTTGGAAACAATCCTGGCCAAAATACTCTTTCTCTTTTGCAGAAATGTTCCAACTTTTATAGAATATAAGCTGAACCTCCCAAATAAAAACAACTTCATACTCATAGAGCATATATTTACTTCTAGTTTGCATGTATTATCAAAATGTAAATGTCAGCCTGCTTTTTTAACTGGCTATGTTCTTAATTTAAAAACCTACTCCAAACATCTAAGTCATCTAAATTTTTAAACAGAAAATGCAAAAATGGGGTCCCATCTGCTAACAACCTTAAGTAAACTGAAAATTATCTCAATAAAATTAGTTCCACTCTTGCAAATGTATTTAATTCTCTACCCTGCCATGACCTTGCCCAAAATAACCCACAACTTAGAGCAGAAAAATAGCTCAGTGGATTACAAGGAAGTGTGCTGTGCACACTGGAGACATGAGCTCTACATACATACACATACATACATACACACACACACACACATTTTTAAAATTTTAAACTAACACTTCTATCCTGGAAGAGGTAGGGGATACTAGGTCACCTGAAAGAAATTATTTTCGCGGTCACCCAACAGTTTTTTGTGAATATGTTGTTTATACACTCATAATCTATTCACATCATACTTTAAGCAAACTTGAAGAAAACCAAGGTAGTATGTGGGTTGTAAACTAAGTGGATTATGAAATAAATCTATAGCTTAATGAATATAGTATATAATAAAGTCAACATAGTATATCAAGAGTTTAAAACCTGACAGAATGGAACACATACAAAATCACCTAAAAGGATCCATGTAAAGTTGCATACTCTAAACCACACCTTTCTGAAAAATACAAGTATAAGAAAAATCAGCAACTTACATATATTTTGATTTACTACATTTTAGAAAATCTGGAGTAGCAATGTCTAAGGAAATTTGTGAGGAAGAATCTGCCCTGTCCAGATTGGCAGCCACAAACCACGTTCACAGAAAAGTTAGTCGTGCAACTCAGGAGCCGAGGTGACCAGGCAGCAGCACTGGGTTGGCCCTACACACCCCTTGCAGGTGTCCATCTCTTTACACAGGGTTATAAACAGCCCTCAAAGCCGCTGGGCCAAGTTACAAACCTAATTTGAGGCATTTCCCTGCCATAAAAGACAGTAAGAGGAGACTGGCACTTACTGGTCTGATGTCAATGTCACACATTCCAACACTTGTCGTGACAACATGACTGACTCCCAGCATTGTGTTCCCAGATAATCCCTAGAACAAGAACGCCAGTGTTCACATGGAACCCACTGCTGAATTTAGTCTTATTTAGGCTTTATGATCCCGTAAGATCTCTACACAAGAAAAGCCACACCAATTTCATACCTTTACGTTGGAAGGGTCAAACAATCCTTCAGGAATTTTTAGCCGCTCTGCACCAAAATCACAGTTGTAACCGTTGGGGAATTCGTAGTGAACAGTCGGCATCTGTGCAGCCACTCTGGAAACGCAAAGATTACTTCACATAAAGCAAAACAACCCTGTTCAAAATTATAATCGGCTTAGGAGTTACCAACCACTAATAGAGTGCAAACACCTAAGCGCAGTATTCAGATTATACTTTATGATTGTAGGCTAAACACATTCTACAGCTCTTTAAACAAAAGCCCTAATTTCTTAAGTACATAGACGGAAAACATACTGTTCATCGTAGGTGGAGTCTGACACCTGAAGAACTGAAGCTTGAAAATCTTGGATGACGCACTGTGAACAGAGACACGTTAAGAAACAAGGCTGAAAGCTGCCTTTGTAACGTACACTTAGTTCTGGCTCTGTATCTAACAGTCAACTAATCATGTCAGACCAGTCTCTCATGGTTCCAATTCTACAATTACGTGGGAATTCACAATTTACAGCATAAATTAATTTCTATACAAGTAATTATGCAATTTAAATACATTTCAATTACAGTATTTATGGGACAATAACAAGAGATTAAAAATTACCAGGAACCTGCACCACTGCCCCACCAAATTAAATCAGTTTCACAACATCATTCTTTTCCTTAAAAGTAACCTGATTTTTTTGTTTGTTTGGTTTTGTTGTTCAAGACAGGGCTTCTCTGTGTAGCTTTGAAACTCACTGTTTAGACCAGGCTGGCCTCGAATTCACAGATTTCCACCTGCCTCTGTCTCCTGAGTGCTAGGATTAAAGGAGTGTGCCACCACTGCCAGCTAACTTGATTTTAAAAGCAAGATTTTATCACCTGACTATAACATGCATACATGTCACATCTCAGGTAGCAATTTCTAGTGACTGCTGTAGGATGAACATGCCCTGCAGGTTGATATGGAAAAACCTTTTCTGATGTCTACACAGAATCATTAATCCAAGATTTTCCATTTTCTAACCCACACAACTCTGGATGCAACATGCTCAGAATACACTTAGTCAATTATGGCCTCCATATCCTTTTACTATTAGAAATTAGTATGTATCTATAGGAAAGCCAATGCACTGACCTCTCACCCACATATGTATACACATTCAGGCACAGATTTTCAGTAAAGAGTCCCATCAGCTCACTGTTGAAGCCATTACACATGCTTTTGCATGTCTAATAAATGCTAGAGCTATATAAGTTCTACACGAACTAAAAGCATTTTCTTAATAACAGTATAAAATAGCATGCCTGCTTTTACCCTAAAACCAAAACCTCTTCCATGTCTTCAAACTGCTATGTAGTAGTTTGTCTGTAGGGATTGTTTCAATAACCTGGAAAGTGCTCCCCAACCCTAAGCTATTCATTTTGTCAGATGATAAAATACATAACTTGTCTGTCTCTGCCCGATCCAGAGTCAGCCCACAAGTCCCACAAGGTAATAAATCTCCTCTATGTAAAGACAAACAAACAAACAAAACAAAACCCCAAAACTTTGCAATCAACTCTTTATTGATAAAGACACTAAGGGTTACTTACATTGCACATGTAATTGTGCCAAGACCTTGTAACCTGGGGCAGTTTCTCTTTTCTTTTCCAGTTCGCTGGAGAGCCTTCTCGAACAGCCTCCTGAGAACAAGAGCACATGCTAAGAGACTTCACAACACAGGAGAGGCAAAGGCAGGCCTCACCATGGAACTTGCCATGCTGCTTACTTTTGATGCAATCATATATGGAGGGATGAGTTCTATATTCATTTCCTGGAAGAGTTCTCTGCACTGCATGGTAATGAAGTCTCCAGCAAGAGGGGATTTCACAATGCCTGAGAATCAAATCAAACAACGCTGAAGAAGCCAATTTGGAATTCCTGGGCAATGTGAGTGTGTTTACACAGCAGGAGGTTTCTTTCAGTAAATTAACTAAACTATCATTTCAAAGAATAAGCCATGCATTTAAAACATAATACTTGGGAATAGATGTGCTCCAATAGAATTCCTGGTCTGTCTTCATCATCTGTGTCCTCATGCCAAGGAAAGTCATTGTGTGCCTTCGTTAAGCAGTGAGTTACCTTGTTGAAGGACATAGCCATCATGGACTGGAATTGCAGTGGTATGGGTAGCTCCACTGTCCAAAATCAGCCCAGTAGAACGACCATTAGCAAATCTAGTTTAAAGCATTAAGGAAAATAAAATATCAAGGCTCTTTAAGACAGTGCTGAATGTGAAAGGCTGGCTCCTGTAATGTTTAAGCCAGTTTTTTAAATACACACTATCATTTACATCATGTAAAAGCATGTCTAGGGATAAAAAATGGTGTCAATAATTAGTCTATCCTGAAGAAAACTTAGACAAGCAGGAATCCCAGAAGTGTTTCTATGCAGAACTCGTCTTTAATTAAGCTGGTTAAAATAAGCATATTGAAAACCTCTACAACTGATCAAAAGGCTTACAATAAATTGAGACACTTTTAACAACATCTACAAAAACTTGACAAGAACACGAAAAGGCTGTGACACCTCAGAAGGAGAGCGCTGGAGAAGCTCTGAGGTCATCAGCTAGGTGGCAGGTCCCACCTCTTCCAACAAGCAATTCCAGGTAGACTCAACAGCTGTTGAAAAGGGCAGATCTTGCTTCCCTCAGCTGCATGCCACAGGCCTAAATGCAGGCTTATGAACAGGGCCTTTCACTGGTTCTTTCTTCCTGAACACTGATGACATCCTCCCAGGTCTGGGGCCTAAAATAACATTTCAGAGGAGGTAAAGGACAGAGATATGGGTGGGGTGAAGGGCACAAGATTGCCACTAATGATCCTTGAGGCAAAAGATACACAAATGTAACGCCAAGCCACCTCTGCCCTGAAGAGAATCTTGTTTAGTAAAACAAGAGGTCAGTTTATCTGCAAAAAGAAAAGCTTGGGATGTCCTGGAGAGAAAAGGAAAGGACTGCCCAACCTGTTCCTGGGACTCCCAAGAGTAACCTGGGGGAGAATGTGGATGAAGTAGGAACAAGCAGGAAATACAGAGGCAGAACATGATGAGCTCAGAACTACAGAAGTGCAGCTCAGCCTCACACAGGAGAAACACAGAAGAGAACCATCCTCACTTAACACGGAATGACTTCAGAAAGATTCCAGAGGTGCACAGTAGCCCACAGAAACAAGACTCTGCTCGCTACACATCAGGCAAAGGACCACTATCTACAACAAATGCCTAAATCAAAACACTAGACCAGAAATGGCTACCAGCAAAAGAACATACTACAGAACCGGTGAGAAAAGAGACCTCACCACTGGTGGGAACATAAATTAGTCTAGCAACTACGAAAGTCAGTTAACGAGGATCCTCAAACTTAAAAAGTTACTATGGTTAAACCTACTATATCTATGCCTAGAGAACAAAGTCGGCACAGCACAGAGACCCACACACCCACGCTCATCACAGCCGACTCACGTCAGCCTCAGGGTTATCAACATATGAGGAGAATGTGTTCTACATACACCTGGAGGTTTGCTGGCCCAGAAGGAATGAAATAATGCTGCTTGCTCAAAAAGGAGACCAAATTAGTGAACAATGCAAACAAATACTGCGTGTACAATGTTATCTGCAAATCCAAGAATGCCTCAAAAACACATTAAAAACACATGCATTTACACATGTACACACACACACACACCACTGAAAGGCAGAGTGGAAGAAGGAAAGAGATGAGAGTTTCAGGAAGGGGTAGGGAAGTCTAAAGAGAGAAAGTGGTTGAGTATGGTCCAGGCATGAGGTATGTGATATACTTAAAGAACATTGTCTTTATGAAACCCAACACTATGTACAATTAATATAAAGCAAGAGCAGGGGAAAAAAGCTTAAAAAATACTTAAAGACAGGTAAAAAGCTGTAAGGAGGAGACACAATTCTTCCACTAATGTCTTACACACACAGAGAAAAGCTGTCTTACTCTAAGGATACGCTGTCAAAACTGCAGTTTTGCAGAGGAAGAATGCAGGGATGCTGTAGTGCTCGAACATCAGCTCTGTCAGCTTCTCTCTCTTCGCCCTGGTGTTCCACTGCAGAAGGGAGGAAGGACCCAGGTTATTTACTGCACAGTAAGAAAAGCACTCACTCATTTCATGCTACATTAAGAGCCATGTTGGGAAAAAAAAAAAGAATGTTAAGAACTTCTCTTTTTAAAAGATCTTAAACTCTAGAACAACTGGGCATGGTCCACCCATTTAATCCCAGCACTCGGAAAGGAGATGCCAGTGATCTCTGAGTTCAAGGCCAAGGCCAGCCTTGGTCTACAGGAGTTCCAGGACAGCCAGTTCTACACAGAGCAAATGTGTTAAAAATAATAAATAAATAAATAAATAAATAAATATGAGTGTGTGAAAAGCCTATTAAAAAAAAAGATCTTAAACTCGATTATTCAACAGGTAAAACTATCAGCTACTATGAGTTCTAGAAATAAAGACTTTCCAAATCACAGAAAAATTAAAATTCTAAAAACAAAAGTATTCTTAGATATTAAATCAGGTAACCAAAATCCTAAATATGAATTTCAAAACACTCAATCATCCCACTTGCAAATGGTAATCAAAAACAAAGCCAATTATTTCATTTGCTGAAATGTTATAACCACAATTAACATTACTATTTCCCCCAAGTTTCCAAGCTCAAAATGAGATTTTTGATGACTCTTTAAAAGAAAAAAGGGGCAGCCAGATGGCCCAGTGGGTAAGGGCTCTTGCCACCAAGAACCTGAGAACCTCAGTTAGATCCCTGGGATCCCCATGGTCGAGAACTAATGCCTTCACGCTGCTGTGTGCCTGTACATGTGTGCCTGGCACATGAGCACCTGTCTGTCTGTGTGTACATATGATCAATTAACAAAAAATGTAGTTTTTAAAAAGGAAGAAAAAGAAAATCTTCAAATGAGTGGGAAGTAAAGCAAGCAAAAGAACAAACAGCAGAGAAACTTGGGTCTCACCGGTGCTTCCGACATGAGAACAGGATGCAGGCTGGCTTCCGATTTGACATGCATCTTGTAAGTATGATCCAAAATGGCCTGGAAACTATCCCAGTCTTCAACTAGAACACAAGAGTCACAGTCTGAAACAAAGCTTAGTTGATGACAAATGAATGAACATCTTCTAAGACGGAGAGACTATTTCTATGACTTATACCTTAATATGCAGAATCAACTTGTAACACAGAACTTTATAAAAAAGGCCATTATAGTTTTCTACTACAGAATCTCTTTTGATTCTTTCAGGTGGGCCTCAGATCTGCCCCAGATTAAGTGGGTACTTATCAGACACTTAACAATTCTTGCTAGAGGTCAAGTGATTGATCAGAAAGGAAAAGAAGACACTGGAAAAAAGCTCATGGGCTAGACACAGCAATATTTGAAACTGTGGCGGAAAAAAAAAGTTTACTATCTGTTAAAAAAATAAGATTTAAAAGCATTTTAAAAATTTAGAGAGTAGCTAAACATGGCAGTGCATGCCTTTAATCCCAGCACACAACAGTGAGGAGGCAGAGACAGGCAGGACTACAGAGCTAGGCTTTGTCTCAAAAAACAAAACAAAACAAAAACAGATGTCTTCAATCTGTCATCCTTTGCAACTGCTACTGAGTCACTGGTTAACTGGTGAAAGTTCCACTGGACAATTAATATTATCAATTGAATGTGACCTTTTGACATGACTTGGCACTACCGATTACAATGGTTTACAAATGTTTTCTCCCACAAACCATATGACTTGTTTAAGTTGACTTGGCACTACTGATTACAATGGTTTACAAATGTTTTCTCCCACAAACCATATGACTTGTTCATCAGGGACCTTACTGTAATCTCAACCCATCTCTGAGAACACTGAGCACCACTTGACTCTACCAGTCTTAAGCATCTCTTGAATTTTCCCTCACTGCTAACTTGAGGCCACCCATTCTCCTTTCTGAGCACTCATCTCTACTGGTTAAAGACTGAGCAAGTCTTCAACAGAAAATATATTCCTAACCTCTTACAAGTTCCATGTCCTTTCTGGGTCATATAGTGCAATTCCACACCTTCAATGTTCCCCTATGACTTTTAACTGACCTGCTTACTTACCAGTGTACCATACACTCTAAAGTAAGGCCATTCACTTGCTGGAAGACCACAGCAAACCTGACCCTCTGCTGGTGTCTGGGCACTCAACTAGCCAACAGTTCCTTGCATTGATACAAAACCTACCCTATATGCTAACAATAGGCCACTGTTTCCAACCTGTTTGTCCAAAGTGGCTTATATTGAATACTGGTTCCTTCCTATGTCCCTAGAGCTTTGGCACATGATAGGCAGAGGTGGTCCTATATGACTGGCCTTCAGGTAAAGCCTTACACACAGAGTCTCTGCTGACACCCCAGTGGACAATACATATGTTGTGATACTGTGCAACTGAGGCAGGAAGCACATCCTATGATCCTATGCCATCCACAGTGAGAAGAGTTGGTCTCCTCTGGGTTTCAGCCCCTTTCCCTTTTTCCTTGGATGATGTCCTCATGTGTCTTTTCAGTGTGGTTACATGAGGCTCCTGAGTAGCTTACCTCAGTTTTATCCCGAGACTATTAACACTTCCTTGTCCCCTTTTAATTCTTCTTTTAGTAAATGGTACCATTTATCATCAGCTCAACAAAATTCTAGGAAACCTTCTCAATTCTCCTCTCTTTTCTGCCTCTTCACTCTCTTAGTGCCATCTGTTGCCTGGATACCTAAAAGCCACTTCAAGGTCTCTGCCCTCAGTGGTTTAAACCCTCCTCGTTTCCATCAAAAATGTTCTCCTCTCCGGTTATCCTGCTATCTCCAGTACTTCCCTCCAGCAGACCCTGTATACGGTCAAGTCTTTCAGGATGGCAAATATGAGCACATGCACCTTACTTAATTTCACCAGGCCAACTTTCAGAGACCAGCTTCGCGTGCTCCAAAGGAAGATAATGTTGTCTGCCTACCTTTCCTGCAAGTGACCCTTAACACACACAATGCTGCAGCCATATCGGTTAAACATGGGAGTTCCCTCATAACTCCCATCTCTTCACACAAGCTGACGCTTTTCTGCTTTTCTCAGCCTTGTTGGCCAGTCAAATTCTTATTCATTGCTCAAGATTCAGCATGCTGCCTCCTTTATGAAAACTGGCATGAACTCCTCTCTCTAATACCATTGCTTCCTGACCACATCTACACAGCTCTTAACCACACATACAGTATAGTTTTCTATGCATACACCAAACTCTGACTGCGTTTAACGAAAAGAAACACTTCTTACACACTTTTGTATTCTCAGTAGCTAAACTATTACTTTGTGGGATTAAAACAAACAAACAAAAAACCCTTATGTCCATCTTGTAAGAAGCTACTATTTACGTCTAAACTGACCATGAACACCCTATTTATAATCAAATTCATACCCATTCCATTCTTGAGTGGTGAGATGGCTTCCATGTTCTCCCTGGGTACTCGGAGGGCATTAGTATCTATGTAATAGGTAGGACCACCCTGTTTGCCTTTGTCACCATCTATTTCCATCATTGTGCTTCCATCATCTCTCTCCAAAACCATACCAATAGCGGTGGGGAAATCAACCTGGGAGAATTAAAACATGATATGAAGTATCATCTATTTTCACTAGGAATTGTTTCTAGTATCTACTGTCATTTTTGCTCTGAAGTTCTGCTTGAATTTAATTTTTCAGAGATAAGTAACTCATCACTATTCTTACCTTAGGGCAGTCCTCACCAGCATAGCCAGCCCGCACTGTATATGATCCAATGTCAAAAACAAGGGCACCAACTTCATCTGAAGAGATTAAAAGAGAATTACTGATGAGAGTAAGAAGAGAATTAATCCCAACACTCAAGAGATAGACACAGACCCATCTGAGTTCCAGGCTGGACTGGTCTACAGAGCTAGTTCCAGGACAGCCAGGGCTACACAGAGAAACCCTGTCTCAATAAAGAAAAAGAAAAAAAAAGGAGAAATTACCACTAGGAAACTAGGAACTTCTAGGTGTTCTGTGAAAGTTAAGGACATATATTATATGTAAAAAATGAGAATATTTAAACTTTGTAAAAATTCATTACGTTCACTTATCATTAGCTAGAACCTAATTTTTGTCATTGTTGTTTTAAGACAGGGTCTCTCTGTGGGATCCTAGTCCTAAGAACTCACAAAGCTCCACCTGTCTCCGACTCCCAAGTGCTAGAATTAAAGGTATGTAGCACCATGTCTGGCTTAAACCCAGTTTTAAATATGCCTCCAAGATGTAATTAAAATATGGTAAGTCACACATTGTTTATCTGGGAGGTTTAATCAGGAAAGACATGGTGCATTGATAGCTGGTGGTAAAGTTTCCTTACCAAAGGGAACTTTATAGATATTTATAAACATCTATCAAGTATATAAACATCTAGTCAAGGTATAGAAGGACAAACAGAAGGGACAGCCCAGTGCCCTCATAATCCTTGAAACTGAGGACTAAGAAACTGTTACCAGAACCTAGAGAGAAGTTTTTATGTGGGGAGAGCTGTTAGGAGCTGTGACATCGCTGAATGACACAGTGAGCTAATGGCTGCCTACTCAGGGAGGGAGGACCAAGCTCACAGACTCCAACCTCCAGGGAGATTCTAAAATCCAGCATCCAAATTGGGACACTCTTAACATGGGAGGGTACAGCTTTTAATGATAATACTAGAACAAAAGGTGCAAGCAAGAAGTAGGATTACCCTATTATCACCAAATCAAAGCTCAAACCAGAGGCTGACAGTCCACTGAAGCCATCTATTCAGGCACAGGAAGGGTGCAGAAAGTAATTACACAGACCAAGTAAAAAGCATTTAAGGAAAATACCATCAAAAAGTATACATTCAGCCAGGTTCAGTGGTGCAGCCCTGTAATCACCACACTCTGGGAGGCAGAGGCAGGAGGATCTCTGTGAGTTCCAGGCCAGCCTGGTCTACAAAGTGAGTTCAGGACAGCCAAGGCTACACAGAAAAAAACCTATCTCAAAATAAAAAAATAAAAAGTTACACATTCCAAACATTAGGAGATAATTTAGTGCAAACTGCCAAATTATCAGTCAAATTCAGAGAAAAGCTTCCATTTACATTTTCCAAGTACTTCAGCACTTTAGTTTTTCATTGTTGACTTGTCAAAGGGTTCCTCTCCACACACCAATATTTAAAACACTAATCCTACTTACCATTATTCAAACGCTAAGGCCTTAAGAGAAGCTCTTCTACACTGCTTGGTTAAAGCTAGACACCACTAAAGCCACTATGTGAAGCTTAGTGCTAGCTACAAAGAGCCAACACAGAACTATTCAGTTTAGCCATATCCAGTTTAGAGAAATTCGTATTTTAAAAGGAGAAACACATCCAACTGTTTGAATGAAAATGAAATGTCTCCAGACTCTGATATTTGTACATCTGGTGCTACTTAGGAGGTTTAGAAGGCATGGGCCTTGAAGTAGGAAGTTGTCGCTGGGGACAGGCTTTGAGTTTAAAGATTCCCCATTCCCAGCTTGCTCTCTGCTTCATGCTTAAGTCTGAATATGTGAGCTCACAGACTTCTGCTCCTGTCACCATGCCTACTGCTAGCTGTCATACCTCTCTACAATAATGGACTCGAATACCTCCGGAAGCATAAGCTAACGTAAATTCTTTCTTCTACAAGTTGCCCTGGTCATGTCTTTTGTTTGTTTTTCTTTATTCAAAACAAAGTAACAGAAAAGTGTCTAATATATACTATGTGAACTGGGTATTTTACTAACTTCTCTGCCTCAGATTCCTAAAATGTATTTAATACTTAGCTCATAGGATACTATAATGTATAAAAGCACTTACAAGAGTGCTGACAAACGATAAGCATAATACATATTAGCTAACTGTAATTACTGTCATTACACTTCTTTCCAGGAAAAAGGCATACAAATGTAAGCGTCTAGAGAAACAACTACAAACCGTTCTTACAAAATCCTGCACAGCAGTTAAAACGAGTGGGCGCAGATCTACTGACTCCCTACAGATATAAATTTGTAGTGTGGGGATACTGTTTTGCTCATTATGGGTGCACGTTACCAGTACACAGCAGAGAAAGGAATGCCCTTCTAAAGGCATTTTTGTGATGCCTTTTCCTCATCCCAGAAGCTATTTGCTCCCAACTTACAAAAGTTGTCTTTTAACTTTGAGCTGGTTGTTTAACTTTTCCCAATACTTTCTTCTTCTTAAAGTACGGGATAGGAGCACCATCTCCTGCCAGCATCCAGCCCAGAGAAAAGTCTCTAACCAGTTACCTACACTTAGGAAAAAAAAATTTAATTAAAATTAAAAAAAAAAAAGTGCTTGAAAGGCTTGGTTTCATTATCTTCAACCTAAAAAAGGTTCCAGACCAGTTCGATCGACAGGAAAACAGCAGCATGTACCTCAGCGCTCCGCTGCTCGAGGGACCGGGCACACCAGGAGCGATGTCTAGACTGCAGCAGCCGCGACACCAGGCGCGACTCGCACCCAGTGTCCACCCCGAGGGCCCGGAACCTCCGCGAGCTGCCGGGGACAACCGAGCTGGTAAAGCAGGGACCCGGCGTGCCAGGGGGCTGCCATCAGAGTCCCGCCAGTAGCTGAGCCCCGGGTGCGAGACACGGCAGGGCCCTCCCTCGAGCCCATCTCCAAATGCCGACAAGACAAGCCAGGAACGCACTGCGCGTAGGCTCCGGGTCCGAAGGGGCGGAGAGGCCGCGGCCCGAACGGGGACCGGAAGAACCGGCCAAAGACCGGAAGGGCACGCCAAGGACCGGAGGGAAACGAAAACGACCAGGGACCGGGCCGGTCGTTCCGGCCCGCAAGCCCCCTGGCGCCGCCGCGCTCGCTCACCTCCGCCGTACACTCCGCCGCTCATGGCTACTGTTGGGCGGGGACTGGCCGAAGACTACCGGGCGAGAGATAGCAGCGGCGCGACTCCACTTCCCGAGAACGCCGGCTCCGCAAGACTGCAACTTCCAACGCCGCCCCCTCCGGCAACAAAGCGGCGACCGCACGCCCGCTGCACAGCCACTCTTGCTGGTTTCTCGTATCAGCCAATGACAAGGGGCCCGGCTTAGTCCTTAGCCAATCAGAATGTCTCTCTGCTTCATCCCCGCGCGGTTTAGCCATTTTAGCCAATGAAAGGCAGCCTTGGGGGCGGGGAGAGGGGGAAGCGACGGAAGAAGGGAAGGAGTTGGGGGTATGGGCAGGAGGGGGCGGGGTTTCGCGGGCGGGTGAGGTGGGCGGGGCTTCCACTAGCGGAGAAGAACGTGGGTGGAGCTGCTTCGCGGGAGGGTATGAACTGACCTTCGCGCGCGAATAGAGTGGGAGGAGATTTATGGGAGGGCGGGCGAGTGGGAGGGACTTTGGGTGAGTAGGCGGGGTTTCTAGAGTGAATTAATAATACTCGGAATTAGGAGGAAAAGCTGAGCTAGCCTTGCGCTGGTCCTAGAGGGTTCTTGGTCCCAGGAGCCATGGGAACTTGGGCGGAGAAAGACGGGTGTCTGCAAGGAACCTGGAATTTGTGTTAAATACCTCGTAGAGATCCCTCTCCTTGGACTGTGATGAATTTGGATTTTTTTTTTTAATCAGAAAAAACTTAAACCAACATTTACACTTGGAAAGTAAAAGTGTGTAATCAGTAAATCAGATATAATAAGATCCAACATTTTTTTAAATGGCTATTTATAATAAAAGATAGTATATTGTTCCAGCTAGATTCAGATAGCATTTAAAAATCATGACCAGTTTCTTTCATTCTATGAAAAATCATTCACCAAGGAAGTGGAGCACGATTTAAGGAAGCACTGTTTCTAGAAATATGGCCAATCTGTGTCTTCTGTTTTTTTTGTTTTGTTTTGTTTTGTTTTCCACGGAGACAGGGTTTCCCTGTGTGGCCTTGGCTGTCTTGGATTCACTTTGTAGACCAGGTTGGCCTGAAACTCACAGAGCTCTGCCTGCTTCTGCCTCCCCAAGTGCTGACTGCCTCCCAGCTTATGTCTGCTCTTCTTAGTCTTCATTTCTACCAGTGTTGTCCAGAAAACTGCATTTTCTTCCCCGGATTACTGCAACAATGTGTTCCTCCTCTTCTTCCGGCTCTAGATAGCTTGGTCTATATTACAAAACACCCGAATTGGTCCATTCCAAAGCCGAAGTTTAAGATTACATGTATCTTTGTAACTGATAGCAGTGCTTAAATTGAAGTGACTAGGGTCTAGGAACATAGGAGCTACTCATAATCTTAGGAAGGCTGTATCAAATCCCGTCCATCTCCACGCCAACAAGGTGGTAGAAATTGATGAGTCATTGGATAGGGAATACACTTTCTTGTTCACTTGGCCCTATGTGCAGTGAGCTAACGATGGTTTGGGGTTTGGGTTTTTTAAGACAAGGTCTCACTATGTAGACCAGCCTAGTTTCCAAGCTGTCATCCTCCCCCTGCCTCCTGAGTACTGGTATTACAGGCATGTGGCACCTTGGGTATTATTACAATTTAAGTGGTTCAAAAACATTTTTAAGAACGCTAGTCACATGTCAGAAACCTTAAGCTATGTTTTATTGGAGCATAGCCAAGATTATTCACAGCTTTAGCTCTCTTTCAGCAGAGCTAGCAGCTGTGACTAAGGCTGTGTACCTGCTTAAGCTGTAGAGCATGTAACTGCCAAGTGACCTCCTGGGAGTGTCCGCTTACTTCTCAGACAATACATACAACACCTAACACAGCCTGCCTGAGCACTGTGTGCTGTGATTGCCATGGTCACAGTGCTCACTGCAGAGCAGCACCCTAAAATAGCTCTATTTCCAGTACATGTTTGCGTGTTTGACTAAATGAAGCTCATGAGCTATAAGGGACTGTGATTCCAAGCCAGGCATAGTGGCACACAAATTTTCTGGGGGAGGGGGGACATTATTCAGCTTACACTTCCATATTGCTGTCACCATTAAAGGAAGTCAGAACAGGAACTCAAAGAGGGCAGGAACCTGGGGCAGGAGCTGATGCAGAGGCCATGGAGGGGTGCTGCTTACTAGCTTGCGTTCCATGGCTTGCTCAGCCTGCTTTCAAAACGCAGAAGCAGGTGGATTTCCGTGAGTTTGAAATTAGCCTGGTTTACATAGTGAGTTCCAGGCCAGCCAGAGCTACACAGCGAGACTCTGTCTCAAAAAGAAAAAAAAAAAAAAAAAAAAAAAGACTATGACTTCAACGAAATATTGAAGAGACAATATTTTATAATATATAGTAGTACATTTAAATGGCTAGTAATTCATTTACAAGTCTGGTGGGTTTACAGATTGATATCCTTTGCAAACACTACCTGTGACATCTCCCTTGAATGTAAGAGAATATACCCTAGAACTAAAATACCTCTTTGGACTGAAGAAGAATCAAATATTTGCCCCACTGATTCGGAGTTCAACAGAAATCAGAACTATTGAGCAATGTTGATTAAAGTGTGTTGAACTCACTGCCCCTAACCCAGAGGAGTTGGAAAACTGAGAGCAAAGACAGCTTGTAAGAATGATAGAAAAGCTGTGCGCAGATGTTTTTGATGATGTAAGAAATAAAGATACTACAAAACAGATCGTTCATTATTTCAGTTCAGCTCAGCCTCTTGATATAGCACTGGAGCAGTGACTTCTTTTAATGAACCAGTTGGGTGAACTTCAAAGAAAATTAGCTTCTCTGTAGCATGCCTGGTGTGTCAGGACTAACCGCATGTTAAGTGCATGGAAGCACACATTTAAGCCTTTGATGATATCCTTATTTTTGAAACAAGGTCGCTAACACCCAGGCTCTCCATAAAATCACTGGGTAACTGAGAAGGCCTTGAATTTCTGACCCTTCTGCCCCCACCTCCAGAGCGCTGGTGTTGTAGGCACCACCACACCCACACCTGGCTTTATGCTATGCAGGGGATCAGACCCCTATGTAAGCACACCGATACCTCAGCTAACCATTAAAAAGCAAAAGAAGATGCTAAAATTATTGACCCCCAAGTGTTGAATTGCTAGAAGAAGAGCCTGTTGGGAAAGGAAACTGCAGCAGCCTAAGAGAATCGCACTCAGTAATCGTGGCACTCCTTCCTCGGAGATGAAACTCACAGCACGGCAGCTTGTGTATGTGCTTGCTTGGTCGGTTGGTTGGTTGGGTTTTGGAGATAGAGCTTCTCTGCGTATGTATCCCTGGCTGCCTTGGAACTTAATCTATAGACCAGGCTGGCCTTGTACTCAGAGATTTGCCTGCTCTTAGGGGCTGGGATTAAAGGCATGCACCACCATACCCAGCTGCAGCTTGTAGGGGGGGTGTGTGTTTAATTCTTAAATATTAAAAACATTGGGGCTGGAGAGGTGGCTTATGGTTAACAGCACTAGTTGCTCTTGCAAAAGACACAGGTACAGTTCCCAGCACCCACAATCATCCATAACCCCGGTTCCTGAGAATCTGACACCCTCTTCTGACCTCCCCAAACACTGAACACATGTGATGCACAGACAGACATGTGGGCAAAACATCTATACACATAAGATATGTCTTTAAAAAATTAGAAAACTACTATATAATACATTAAAAATAAAAATAAAATATTCAGCCTGATCCCCAGCACACCACAAGACACCAGAGACTCTGCTATATGGTGTATACCATATGGGAGGGCTGCAAGACGTTTCTGCGTCACTATTCCTCTCTGGGAGCCTGTTGTCTACAGTCTTGCCTGGGCCTCAGTCAGCGTTACTGGTACTGGTTGGATTAAAGAGCAAGAACAACTCACTTCTCATGGGCACACTGTATCAAAACTAGAAGTGCCTGGGATAGGGGACAGCTCAGGGTAAGAATGCATGACTAGTAAATGCACTGCTCTGAACTGATTCCTCAGAGCTAGAGACGGGAATCCATACTTGGAGTATTTATTTCTTCCTAAACCTGAACACTGGATACATCAACCCAAAGGCAACGTACAGTGAAGTCTCACGTAAGTTAAGTCATCTGGCCAGACAATGGATGCTCAGAGACTAACTCTGAGTCCAAATGAGTAAGTATTGTTTTTTCAAAAACTTCGGTAATATCCAAGCATGAAGAATTTACCTGCTCCTACATGCAACTCCCGGCTTCACCTCGAGGGGGCGCTAGTCTTCTGTTCTTGTAGTACAGCATCAGTTTTCAGCAGGTCCAGCTTGTCAACTCACATGAAGGAATTTCCGTGGTCACTACATAACCCCAAGGATCTCTTCCTCCGTTTTTTGTTTTTGTTTTTGTTTTTTATTAAATTCACTGTTGAAAAAGCTTCAACTGTTAGACACAAGGCTAGGAAACAACTTCGGAAGACTATCTCTGTCAACGAACAAAGAAAAAAACCCCACCAGACTTCCAAAACGGGAGCTAAGCAACTAAGTCACTGGGAACAAGCCAGAATCCAGCCTTTCTCCAGTCTCTGCTTCAGTTTCTGCCTCAAGGTTCCTGCCCTGCTTGAGTTCCTAGCCTGAATCCCCTCAGTGATGAACTACAACTGTAAATTGTACAAAAGAACACATTTAATTGCGGCTCGCTTACATTTTTGAGGGTTAGTCCGTTATCATCCTTGGTGAGAAGCAAGTAAGAGTAAAGTGCGGAGCTCTAGCCGGGAGCTTTACATAGAGATCCAGAGGCAGCAGCCAGGGGGAGACAGACGCTAGACCTGGAGTGGGCTAGACCCCCGCCCCCGGACAAACCTCCGAAAGGCCACAGCTTCTCCAACAAGGACGCA